CTATAGCGTAGCTAGGCATACGCAAATAACTAAATAAATGTTTCTCAATGGCTTATACTATAATGATGAATATTAAGTAAAATATCTGAAAGAATTAAACGAGTTATCTTTAGATTAGTAGGCTTAAAATGTACGGTACTTATATATATATCCTCATATCGATGACAGTAGAAACATTAACTTACATGACTTCATAATTTCCATTGCTTTATTAGGATCAGAAACTTCCGGTGGGAATTGTGCTATTTCACGGCGTGTAGCAGCATCAGCAGAGGCAGATGATTGAAGAGTTTCTAAAAGTTGAATAAGTTCACTAATCTAAAAATGAGAGAATTTTGAAAATCATTGTCTAATAATGAAGGGGATTAAATTAAAAGGTATTTACTACTACAACTACTACTAATAATAAGAATAATAATACTAGGTGTATAGGAATATGTAAACTAATGCGACTGTAACAGTCTCTGTTATGACACCTACGATGGCAGGCATGTTTCTACCCACTGCCCGTAGTCCTTATATGATATAGTAAAGTTGAGTCACCTTATTATTCGTTTTCTGTGAATCACCGAACTCCATTGCTTAATATACTCGCTGGTTGCCCGACCGTAGCTGCTACCTTAACGTGGTGGTCAGGCTTGCCTATCGTGATGACCCAACCGAGCTAAATTGGCTGGAACATATGTTCCTGTAGGTTCTAACATGCCAAGCAGGTCGATTGAAGAACGATGAGACTAAAAGCAGCTACCCAAGGTCTGAGGGCGAAGTAGTACTGCTGTCTGAAAAGGGGTGTGACAGAAGTAAGGTGTTTCCCTCGGACAACCAGCATCTGCAGCGATGCTGCCTTCTCACAAGGAAGAAAGGGTTAGAAAAGGTCGGCCCTAAAAATGTCATACCTCCCCTAACTCACGGATTTCCGTCTCCGGCGGTAAGGGTTCCCACTAAGGGCCTTTAAGAGCGCAGCTAATACTCAAAAAACCTTTCATAAAAAGGCCGTGCGTGACCGGCCTCAAGCAGTTGTCCCTTGTGCTCTGCGGTCACGCTCCCAGGTCTCTAAGACCAACACTAATCCATCTCCCTTTTCAGGTTCCTCAAAAAACAACCTTCCACGGTGTGGGCAGCCGGGAACTGGTAACCGCCCTCATACCCGTAACAGTACGAGAGACAAAATTGGTCAAAATCAAATCCTTCCTACACCCCCTAATACCTCTCTTACCTCCACGACTAACTCTTCTCACATTCATTTATCACAGTGCACAGCTAGTGCAGACGATGCGAGTTCGCGAAACGTCGTTCCTGGTCTCCTTAAACCCTATATTGCTGTAAAGGTGATCGATAAACTCGAAATATGTGATTGGAAGTTATGTGTTTGCTGAGTTGTGCTCTATTTTGGCTATCGGGTGCGCAAATTTGGGGAATTGCATTTAGGACCGATATCCATTTACTACCTCCAAATATCGTAGTAGAGTCAAGAGTAGGAAGTGTCCGTTATCCTCCAAATACTTTGCATGACCATGATATACTCATGGCCACCGCAATAGACACCTCACTCACTATTTCGTGTTGCGGATTTCGCCTTCGAAATTGATAGGACCAAAAGCGAGTGCTCGGTGCTTAAAATTGGTTAGTGGGTACAGAGGATTCATCTAGGAGGGGGGTTGGAAAACTCAGATTCCAAACCAACGGTGTACACGAGCTCTAGGATCCTGAGAGAACAAATGACATGTGGACCTATTGTTGATCACCAGCCAAGACGAGACTGCATCTCCTGAAATTGTTCCATTACCCTGTGGATGAAACTTGTAAGTCAAAGGCTCAGGAAGTGGTCTTCTAAGAAAACGAACTGTAGCGGTTTGGGCACCCAGGCGGTATCTCAGCCCGCGCAAATTGAATGATTTATGAGGTGCATTTATATTTTGGTGTCCCTTTGCAACAATATTTACAAGTTTAAATAAATAAATAGTCTTACTCTTCATGTCCTTGTTAAGCTAAAGGTTTTCGGTACTAGATCAATAGTCTAGACGAGCTAATCAATGCTCTGACTAGGTTAATCCAACTTCTATCCCGTATTACGACCCGATCTCATAAGTTTCAAGTGAACTAGACAAGAATATTTACATAGTTCTACCGATACATCAGATGTATATTATATTTACCTCAATATTATTCGATTATGTTAAAGTCAAACTGGTACTAAAATATGAGACGATCATATTTTTAACGTGATTCGAAAAAGAACACATCATACTTTCGTACAATGACCATAACCGTTACTGAATAGGGGATTGTTTCGCTACTGCATAGACATTTTTAGCAGAAAGTAGGATTATATTACGTCATGTATATTACGTCACGTTAGCAAGGTTAAACAAATCATTAAATCTAAATAACAAAATACTCTTTACGTGTAGATTTTATCATTGAGAAAAGAAGTTATTGGAATATGTTCAAGTGTTATTTGCTAATTAGAATATCAGTGCCCCTATAATGTAGTGTGGCAATTTGAACCGATACACATATATGCGTATGACATAATAGGGACTGCAACTTGGTTAGTCAGTCAGTCAGTTGCAACGTAGAGCTTCGTACGTATGTACATAAGTTCGTGTTGCCATACCACATTAGCACAGAGACGCAAATGTCAAATCAAATCCCATAGTGATAAAGATAGTAGAGGTATTAATGGTAATCATCTCGCGGACCCCAACCAGGTACGCGAGATGAAGATAATCGATGGTTAGATACCCTGAATGACATGGCTCAAAATCGTTCGCAATGGCGCCGGTGCATTGATTCTTTGTGTTCTTTCAAATCCTAATCTTCTGGATTCTTCAACACCTCTAGATTTGACTTGCTAAACTTTTCTCATTGAATCATGCTTCTTGAATAGTATCTTCTAATCCTAACCTCTCCGATTACTTCTAATACCTTTACTACCTCTTCTACTATTGGATTTGAATTGACAATTACATCTCTGTGCTGATGTGGTGGTATGCCAACATGAACTGATGTACTTACGTACGAAGTTCTACGTTGCATCTGACTGACTGACTGATTGAATGGTACTGAAGAAGACTAGGGTTTGAAGATATTATTCAAGAAGTAGATCAAAGGTTTAACTAATAACTGTTAGTATGCGCGTCCCAACTTTACTTTACCTATACCTAAATGAAGTCAGCTGATTAATATTTCCAGTCTTAGAATGATGTCACTTTAAATAAAGCTAAGTAAGTCAGTTGAAATCTAGGTTTTTTTTCTTTACAAAAAAACAAAACATACCTTTGGAGGTTCAGTAGCTTCAGTTTGTAATTCAAGATCTAATTCTTCACGGAATGCTGAAATTGCATTATGCGACATATTACTATTTTCATAAGTTTCCGGATCAAAACACATTGGAGCCATTGAAATATCTTTTGTTGTTGAAGAACGATGACGTTTACGATTTGCTTTGTTATGGTTTGATTTAGGTGTATGAAGGAGAGTATTATTATTATTAGCAACAGATGACTCTTTATTCCCTGATAATCCTAATGGATTTGTCAGAACTGCTGTGAATGAGAAAGCGAATGGTGATGCAGCGATGATATTACGTTTCTGTGTTAAGAAAAAAATTACAAAGATGAAACGATTATTTTTTGGGAAATAAATTCATACTATTTATTAAGTAGATTTTATATTTCTTTGGCGAAACTGGATGAGTGCACATACACAGACAGATTCATAGGTACTTATGGAATCGTTAAACTGCGGAAGCCATTATTAACAATCTATGCGCAATTATCTTTTCTACTTATTCAAGAAGTGTGTGGAAGGCTAGTGTGCCTACAAAAAACCAATAGTCGATAAGAATGGAAGATCAATAGATGAAGTAATGAAACTTCATCAGTTGAGGTGGTTGGGACATGTGTTGCGTATGCCCAACCACCGACTGCCTCGAAGAGCTTTGTTTTGTAGTGTAGGAGTAGTTTCGAAGAAAGTTAGAGGTGGCCAAACCAAAACTTGGCAGAAATCCATGAAATCATTGACGAATGGACTTAGTCATGTCGATAATTGTCGACTACCTGGTTGGGGTCCGCGAGATGATAATAATCGATGGTTAGAGACGCTGAATGACATGGCTCAAAATCGTTCGCAATGGCGCCAGTGTTCTCTCAAATCCTAATCTTCTGGATTCTTCAACTTTGTAAACTTTTCCCACTGAATCATACTTCTTAAATTATTATTCAAGATTACTTCTTATATCTTTACTACCTCTTCTATTATTGGATTTGAATTGACAATTACATCTCTGTGCTGATGTGGTATGGCGACATGAACTGATGTACTTACGTACGAAGTTCTACGTTGCATCTGACTGACTGACTGACTGAATAGTCGATAAAATCGGACTACTATGCATCAAGAACAAGTTGGAACTGAATCTGAACTTTGAAAACATAGGCTAGCATTTCCTGGTACAACTTTAAAAACTAGGTGATTGAATGAAGATCGTGTGTATTATTATCGATCATAAAGATAGTGGCATAATTGCAGTTTAAACTAGTACACCATTGTGCGCATTCTAACGGTGTTTATACCTGTTTTTTCGAATTGATGACTGGAAGATTAAATAGTAGCTAGTGGATTCTAATAATAATGAAAGCTATAGAACATTCTTAGGAGTAAAGATATGTAGTGGGTTTCTAATGATTCAGGGTTAGGTTGACTGATAGCAATGAAACTGAATTCCAGATACATTAGTAATTTTAGAGAAGATGAATACATTTTTCCACGCAGGCGGAAAAAAAAAGTTTTTCTATACGATGCAGTACCATTTCTAGAACAAACCAGATTCCAGTGGAGGAGGAAATCAGGAAGAAGCGGTGGAAGTGGATAGGACACACACTACGAAAAGCACCTAACTGCATCACGAGACAAGCCCTCACATGGAACCCTCAAGGTAAAAGGAAAAGAGGAAGGCCAAGGAACACATTACGCCGAGAAATAGAGAAAGACGAATGAGAGAAAGAAGAATGAACAAAAATTGGACAGAATTGGAAAGGGAAGCCCAGGACAGAGTTGGTTGGAGAAAACTGGTCAGTGGCCTATGCTCCATCGGGGGTAACAGGCGTAAGTAAGTAAGTACCATTTCTATTCCATTACAATAGCTTTAATTATAGGAAGCAGCGATAATACATCCAACTAAAAATGTACATTTATTAGTAGAGAGCCTAAGTCCAGAATAAACAAATAATAAAATAACTAAGGTTACAATGTTACATAAAGGTTAGTAGAGTGCTCGCACAAATCTAGATTGAAAATGATCATACACCAACTTGAATAGAACGACAAATTCCACAACCTTATGGTAATAGCAGGCTCTTTTTGAGAATCAGCTGAAAGATTTGGTTGAGATATTATAAAATGCACAAGGTAGATTTATAAAAACAAGATTTCCAACTCTGCCGACGAATGGTACTGCCAAGAGCAGCTTAAGACATTGCATGAGGATGTATTTTGGTATAAACCACATCTACAATATTAACTAAGGATGTGGAGTTTTAGCTACTAGGCATTATGGTATAAAGGTGAATGTTATATCTGTGAAGCTGTTGTGTTCATGGGCAAGAATCAACCAACTATAATTTGAATGTGAGAAATAAAACAATGTAATTCTAACTTGAGACTTGAACTTTCAAACAATGTACATAGGTAGAACTGAACAGTCATATAAGCATGTATTTATTGAATAAGATAAACTTACAATTTCTTCACTAGCATCTGGTGTATCTGCTTCGGCAACCGCTCGCTGGCATATAAAACGTAATTGTCTGAGAAAACTTTTAGAATACACTCGGCGAGTAGCCCATACAATTAGAAGATGAGCAACAGATGAACGCACTGAATGACGTTGAACTCTAAACAAATTAATAATCAGCAAGTAAAATGTATATGCCTGATTAGTGATACAAAAGAAAGCATACAAAAAACTTTAATAGTCATATAAAGCTAATGGGCAACAATAAAATGAATGTACAATATACAAACTAATACTCGAAGATTAGTTTAATCTATCATTAATATACATGATAATGCTAACTTACTTTCTAAGTATTGGTTGTTTGCAATGATTTTAAGTAACATGCGTAAACCATGACTGTGAGTTATGGTTAGGATGATATAAGTATTTAAGCAGTGTAATACTGTAAATATTAAAAATGAAGAACTAGAGTTTTTAAACGAGAGTTGTCTGATATCAATGTGTTAGAAATCAGTGGTTGATGGCATATACCGACACTAATAACAGTAATACGGATATCTTCCATAGTACTTAAAATCTTGGACATTTGCAAGACAAAGTCTACTTGTTTTGATAACAGACCATTTATGGAACTATTTCGCATCATGCTTGTTATAGGTATGAAAATTAATAATGGTGCTGTTTAGTACTTAACGTTGCTTCGCCGGTAACAGCAAACAAGATCAAATTGGTCATACTAAAATCCTTCCTACTCCTCTTAATAACCCTCTTACTTCCATAACCGAACCTCACAGGCGCATACAGGATCTGAGTAGTGATTTATGTGACCTCACCATGTCGAAATAAAAAATCGTCTCGATTTACGCTCCATGTATCTCGAAGTCCCACTGCTGCTTCCCGTGGCCTCACCGGTATCAATACAGCATTAAGTTCTAAAGCAGAAGTAGCTTTCTTAGACTGGATCCCAGTAGATAGTCGCTTATGCTCTGACCGGCTGAACGGGGCAGTAAGACACTCGCCGTTGCCTTTTTGTCGTCTCCGCCTACGCTCCCACTGACTGCAGCTTTTATGAAGTAAAAGATGAACTTAACAGAAAGATTTCGAACCTCCTCCGAAAAGTTAGGCGTTCTGATGTAGTAGTAGTGGCAGGTGACTTCAATGCTCAAGTACGTACACCAACTGAAAGACAACTGTGGGGGTCTTATGGTGTAGCGGCTGATCGAACAGACAATGGTGACCGTCTGCTGCAACTATGATCTGACAACTGCCTATTTTTAGCAAATACCAACTTGAAGCACAAGGCAAAACACCTTTCGGCTTGGCGACCCCTGAAATCGACACAAAGCTGAACCCAACTAGATTGCATCACTATCAGTCATCGATGGAGGTTCAATGGAAGGTTGTCGCTCATTCTGGAGCACATGTTTACATTTAGATCATACTCTGGTACGAGCGCATGTTTGTCTGCAGCCTAGTGGGCATAAGAAAAAAACGGAAACGAAATCCCTTAGAGTCCTGCTTAACGATAACAAAGCCGATTATATTTCAGGGGCAACTAGAAAAACAGTTAGTTAGCCATGAAAATGATGCCCACTTATCCCGTCTGGTTCTGGACATGATGAGGGGCAGTCAGCCTAAGCGCAGGCTGATAAGAAGCCTACGTGATGACTGAGAACAGTATTGCGTAGCGAAGGCAAGAAATAAAAATCAGTGGCAATGGTTAACAGTAAACAACCATTCAGACTTATTAAGGAAAGCAGTATTAGGTGGAATCCAGGAACTGGACGTAATTCTATCTGTCTAGTCTCAATCACTGATTATTTTAATCTATAAGAAAGGGTAAAAGTCATCTTTTTACTATCACTGTGATCAGTATAACTAATTTAGTTTCTAAAATGTTAGCCTCGATAATACTTCGACGCCTAACCACAGCTTGTGAAGAGCAGACTCGAGAAAACCATGCTAGTTTCATACCTGGATGTGACATTACAGACCAGGTATTCACATTTAGTCAGGTCCTGGAGCACAGACACACATTTAAGCGTCCCACCACAGTTGTCTTCCTGGACCTTAAAGCGGCATTGGACTCTGTCACTCGTGAGATACAGTGGCAGTGTCTATCATTAAAAGGTGTACCAGAGAAGTACATTAACCTTATACAAGCTCTCTACTTAAATACTACTGGTGGAGTTAGAGCTTATGGAGAACTGTCATCGGAATTGGTTACTTCAAGTGGTGTTCGTTAGGATTGTTCACTTTCTCCATTCATATTCAACTTTGTTATTGACATGCTTCTAGAGACGACACTTTCATCGTCTGACACACTTTTTCTCAGTAAGAATTGTTGCAACTTGGAATGTTCTCCAAGTTGAAGTGACCACACACCCCTTAGTGGATAGCTTGAAGAAGAGGTTCGATAAAAGCTTGCTCGATCTACAATTAGATATCTGTGCTGATTAAGTATGGAAACTTGAACTTATGTGCGCACGCACGAGGTTCTACGTTATAGCTGATTGACTGAATAATCCGGTTAGTTACGAATAACTAAATCGGATGCCATGTGAGCCTTTTATTTAAGTATGAACGACCGAAAGCACACATTCCTATGCCTAAGCTCCGTATTTAAATACTAATTGAAGTTATATTCTGTTTTAAATGTTCGTAACTTTATGGTCGTTCGGGACAACGGTCATATTGTTATATTCATATCAGTTTGAATTGGCAAGTTTTACGGTCTCGCACAGTGGGTACACCCAAAAACGTAAAAAGGGAAAGGGCGTAAATTTCAAAAAGTATCTCTGCGATACTGTACATAAAGTAGATGTCTCATTATCAACTAGCTTTTCTTAAGCTACACGGGCAGAAAGGTCGTTCTAACAAGCTGGGAAATTGAGAGTAAGGAACTGCAATGATATTTTAACAATTTAAAGCCCAACAAAAAATAGAAAAAATTTTAAAGTTTGTTGTTGCAGTTACACCTGTATTAAAAAATGTATACTCACTTAGATGTTTCTTTAAAAGCCGTAGGCAAAACTGGCTCGAACAACTTCTTGAACTGAGGAGCTGTAGTTATACCCCTTTGTATGACATCATTAGCAAGATGAAGGAAAGCAATTTTTTTCTTAGGAGAAGCTAAGTAAAAGAATATTTTACACAGTTAATTACTTTTGCGAAATTCTTTAAACCAAAGCTTGACCAAATCTTTGGCCATTTGTTTATTACTTAGAAACCACTGAGATGTACTTTCCACTGAAATTTGAGAGTTATCGAGTTCTTGTAATTTCCGGATCGCATCTGCTTCGGAGTAAGACATTTAGTTGCGCAGATCTCAAGGTTGCGCCTTGAAGGCCGCCTTCAAACTGTGTCCAATATTTTTGGTTCGGATGGTTCTCTGATTGAATAAAAGGTGACTATATTTAGCTAACTTTAGTATCGAATGGCAATGAGTAAATTGTTTACATGACATGCTGCCATAAAAATAGGTTACTCTGGCAATTATCGTGGACCAAGGTAACAATTCCTAATCTTGGAATAGTCATCAACGGAGGTTGTCTGGAAATTGTGTCCAGTACTTCCAATGCATTTGAGAGCGTTACGATTTTTCGTGCTGTGATGTTAAGGTAATTCGTCATCTAGGAGTTATTAGGCTAGTTTTTGTGTGAGGAATATCTTTCTCAAGAGCAGGTATAAGCCAATTTTATTTCTTTGCGCTCGATTCTTGTGTTCAGTAGTGTCCAGTGAATGTGCGTTTATTCACTTGACTTCACTACTTCCAGTCAGTTAGTTCTAAGTTGGAAAAAAGGGGAAGATGCTAACACTGATGACAAAAATTTAGAACGAATATGTAAAGAAATTAGTTCAGCGTACATCGGCCAAGGCTAGTCCAATAGGGAGATGATAATCCGTAAGTGAGCAAGCTTTTATCGAACCTCTTCTTCAAGCTATCCACTAAGGGGTGTGTGGTCACTTCAACTTGGAGAACATTCCAAGTTGCAACAATTCTTACTGAGAAAAAGTGTGTATCAACCTGAGTTACCGCTATTTCACGTGTGATTACCTAGAGAGGCGTGGTTGTAATGCTTTGGCAAGATGCTTACGTTGAGATGATTTCGCGTGCTCATTATATTGTACTCCATTGCCAGATCACATCTGATTATCCTGTAACTCAGAGAGAATAATTCCAAGTGTTGAAGTCTGTCTTAGTGAGGTTTTTTCTTCGAACCTATCACCTATTTAGTTACTAGTCTCTGCACTAAATGCAAGAGATCTATGTCTCGTAAGGAGAACGCGTACGACGATATTGTGCACCTCAAGGTCCATATGGTGTGTTTTTAACTATGTTAGGAATATTTTTGGGATATTGCAGAAGAGTCACGTTAGTCTTGTCTAGTATTTTGAACTGATGTTTAGGCTTTCTGTGGTTAGCAAACCGAGATTGCATTCTGAGTAGACATTGGGGAGTGGATCCCCATTTGGGACGTAAGTTGTCAGTGTTCTTACCGCACCATTTCGAATGGTTGAGTATTAAATCGTTTTGTGCTACATTCCTCAATTGGTGTGAGGTGTTTGATGTTTTGGAGTTATTGCATTATTCAGTGCTACGAAATGATTGACTTCTTACACTGTTGAAGTAACTGGAGAAGCTACAGTAGGCACGTTTGGAAACCTAATTAGACTGAAAAGCATAACACAGATTCTGTTGACCCTCGTCCATCTGTTAATACCACCGTCAAAACGAAGACCGACAGCCTGGCCACATCTGACAATAATGTGCTGATGTATGTTATTTACGGCACGTCTGACTGATCGTTAGATGTGATAATTTTAGTTTTTCCATTTTTCATGCTGTGTATTTACCAATTATAGTAATTCTTCTTAACCTAGTAGTGAAAATCGTTTGAGTGTATACCTTATTTCTAGTATCAGTGTCTACGTTTTTCGAGCTAACATAGTGACATATGCTTCATTATGTTTGTAAAAATATACTGAACTATTTTCTGGACATTGAAATCAAACTCATTTTCATTCTAACAGCTGTTCAATGTTATTCAGTCACATTGTATTTTGTACCCTACCTATAAATTCAGCTTTATGAACTCAGAGAAGAAATGTTAAGTTTTATTTTGAGTGAAGATTCTGGCATTTCTAGCCACTAGAAGTGTAAATGTAAGGAGAAACGAGTTGCAGATAAGTCGTAATAAAAACGCAAGTTACTCCCACAGTTACATTCCGAGTTATTAGTTGAGGATAATTGATGATAAACTAATGGATGCGGTGAAATTCGTTTAATATTTTGAATGTGTCTACATACGAATCCCCACTTTCGTCATGCATTATAATGTAAACTAATGGAAACCTCATGATGACATTCACAGCAGAGACAAACGTGGCGGGTTTATGAATGCGCCTTCGGAATACCGATTAGAATACTGTCCAAGTAAGGCCAGGATACTAGATGTAGAAAATTTCGAAATTCTTTTTGTTCCGGTCCACTGCCATGAAGTGCGGAATTCACCCTTATTACAGTTGTCTTATGATTACAAGGTAAATTTTATACTTGTATTTGGTAAGGACGCTTGATTGTTCTATCGTCTGATTCATTCCATTGTTACCTGGAGGTTGAGTTCAAACTTTCTAAGACAAACCTTTTTTACAATGTAGCCACAATTTAATGTGCAACATCTGTTGAGATAGTAAGATGCTGCAAACATTTCTCAACTATTATCGAAACATACATCTTAACGGACTATCCCTTAACTGTTGGAATGAGACACGTGGAAGCACATGGTTAGGCTAACAAGAATAGTGAAATGAAAATGCCCACCCAAAAATTATTTACCAATCTCATTATTTCAAATAACTTCAATATAAAAATACATACTTTTCACATATGACATTGGTTTCTCATTCAATCACATCTTTTTGTACATCGGCTTGTATGTAGATGGATTTTCTACCGAAGCAGTTAAATTTGTTTCCAGTAGGTGTAAGTCGAACGCACCCCTCTCCTAGTCCAATATCAGAACACAATGATTCTAGGAGAAAGTGGTCTATTTATAAAAAAAATGGAAATACAAACAAATACCTGACTTTTGATACACCTTCCAAGTCCCAATTACTCTGATGAGTATCCGAGTTCAAAAAGAATAAGTGATGCTAGATCCAACCGCAACAGTATCAAATCCAAATATGGCTGTAGCCATATTAAAGATCAAATTTAAACAACATGTGTACAGTTCAGAAGCAAACATAAAAACTTCAATATAAGTACAAAATATAGAAATAATAACAATATACAATGATAAAATCTCAAAATGGAATCAAATAGAGTACCAAAATGTCAACAGAAGGAGTCAGTCATATCATAACACAAATATATAAACATGGAGGGATTTTCCAGAAAACAAAACATTCAAAAAAGATTCTACATGTATTATGCAATTATTCACAGATTCTGTACTATTTTAAGTTTATTTGATCTACCCTAATTCACCTCTATATTTTTTTCATCGAATATTATACAAACGAATTTATATAGCGGCGTTTCATAACTTATTTGTTTTTATGTGGATGGAACTAGAAGTCACAAATCATGATAGTTCCTAAAACTTATCTAGCAGAAAGTATTCAAGTTTTCCTCTTTTGTCCTTTAATAAGTATTCCAGAGATTGTAAACATTCTGTGTGCTGTTGAATAGCACATATTGAAGGCTTTACCAGTCTGATCTATCTCTGAGAAATACTCTTCAAGAACAATAAAATCGGGTAGTTTTCATAAACGAATACTTTTCATTAAACTAACTACTGTATTTGTGTATCGATTGAAAAATTTAATCATTTTTTAAACTTTATTGAAATATATTGATTCAATCAAATAAGTTTCACGAACATGTAGTGGAACTACTTTGTGAAGAAAACATGATTACTGACTTATAAATACTTATTATTGAACATATGTAACAATAACTGTTTTATTGTACACCTTTTGTTTATCTGTATTTGAAGTCATTATTCGAGCGCCACACACGCCAACCCTGCGGACCTATTGATCGCTTCGTGCCAACATTATTTGTACTGGCTGAACACGTGATATTATTTCAATATCACGCGACCTTCTATCAATAAATATCGTTATCCTATATACAATCTTCTCTTCTATATTACTTTTTTGGGCGTTTAAACTCCGCAACTCCCACGAACACATTTTGAATAATTTGACAGTGATTCTGATCATTAGAATCGGAAATAAACGAAGTTTGGAAATTATATGGAATACCGAATACTACAGAAATGGTGAGCCCATATTCACCACAAGTTGAGTAGGTAATATATTGGGTATTGAAAGCAAAATATACTTAATTCAAGTCCCGCTACGAATGAATATGAAGAATCAGACTGACCAACTGCAATTCGTAGCATTAATAACTCAAACTGACTGATTTTAGTAGTTTCATTATTATCTAGATATTTCTCCATTGTTTGTATTCGGTTGAAATGCCACACAGTTACAGATGCAACTTGTCAAAATACATTTAAAATAAGAAATCAGACAACCGTTATTTATTTAGCTTTTATTGAATTCAGTTTTAGCGACATGTTGAAGTCAAAGTTCCAAATTGTGCGCTTTTACCTCCAAGATTAGGTTCGAGTACTGATAATAAACATCCCAAAGTACCAGCTAGACGTAAGTATAAATTTTTCCTGAAGGGAGATATGATAAACAAGTTAGCAAAGATAAAATAAATCATTTACTACATTTAATGAACTTATACTCCTGCTGTCAAACGATTTTCTTATCAACGACTTAAAGAAGTTACGTAAATGTCAAGTTCGATATGGACTGAATGCATGTTAATTAGTTGGTCACAATCAGCGTGTATCTTAGCTTAATATAATGATCAAATATCAATAATCTGGTTCGAAAAGAATGAATTAAAAGGTTTGTTTCAAGGAACTCTGGAACTTCAAAATCTTCAGGAAGATAGTGCGTTAATGCGCTTTTAACATCGGGATCGATTCTGCAATAAATGACCCAACGTCTTCAACGATTGACAATATTGTCAAGTGAAGTACAATTTGTTAGCTTTAAACTAACTACATCGTGCATACTGATGGTCATAAACTTTGGGAGTTGGAACTATATCTTAGTTGATCAATACCAAGATTTCTTTCGACTTAGTCACATACCAGCTTACATCAATATGGACAACGGTTATGAATATGGGACAAATGTTCTAAATATTTCTGTCAATTAAATATAATTAGCCTATCAACGCTGAACTAAACATTATTATTCCCCTCTGTGAGATGAGAGAATAGTAGTTGAAAGAAAGCTATAATCTAAACAGTGCGG